TCTCTCTCTCTCTCATGCAGGCCTTCAACGTCATCAACGGTGGCTCTCACGCTGGGAACAAGCTGGCCATGCAGGAGTTCATGATACTGCCAGTCGGAGCCAAGAACTTTCACGAGGCCATGAGGATTGGCGCCGAGGTCTACCACAACCTCAAGAACGTCATCAAGGCCAAATACGGCAAAGACGCCACTAACGTGGGAGACGAGGGCGGGTTTGCACCCAACATCCTCGAGAACAATGAGGGTACCCACACTTGATCTATAGCTTAGTAAAAAAACGGGAATGAAGAGTCTTCTATTTGAGTTAAAAACCTTAAAACTGAAATAATAAATGCAGCTCTTAAAAGTCTTAATTCATCTTTGCTCCGATCAAGGCCTTCAAAATGTCTTAAACCGAAGAAGAAAGCCTTCAATTCATAAAGTCATGACAATGAATGTTGCATGCACTCAAAACATGGTTGTCAAAGTTTACTAAAACTGAGACTAAATGTAAAAAAAAAAATAAAAAAAAAATCATTACTTGAAATAAAATAAACATTAACTGAAAAATAAAATAAAATATAATAAACCCTCTGTTTCAGCTCTTTGCCAAGGCAGCATTTCTCATTTTCATTTAGTTTAGTTCAATGTACTAAAATAATTTAAAACTGAAATAAAATTTAATAAAAACTACACGAGACATTATTATATTTATTTTTAAAAAACTACTTAAAATGACAAACACAAAACAAAATAAAACTTTAGCATTAAAACTGAAAATATAAAACCCCTGTTTGCTGACGACTGATTGTCTGTGGTTCTGTAGCTCTGGAGCTGCTAAAATCTGCCATCGAGAAGGCCGGCTATCCTGACAAGATCATCATCGGCATGGATGTCGCTGCGTCTGAGTTCTTCAGGAGCGGCAAATACGACCTGGACTTCAAATCACCTGACGACCCCAAGCGCCACATCACTGGAGACCAGCTCGGAGACCTGTACAAGAGCTTCATCAAGAACTACCCCGGTACTCACACACACCAACACACACACACACACACCGACACACACACACACACACCGACACACACACACACACCGACACACACACACCCCGACACACACAGACAGACAGACAGACAGACAGACAGAGCTGGTTTGTGCAGGATCAGACCCGTTCATGTATGTCTCCTCTGGTTCTGATCTCAGTCCAGTCCATCGAGGATCCATTCGATCAGGACGACTGGGAGAACTGGACCAAGTTCACGGGGTCAGTGGACATCCAGGTGGTGGGAGATGATCTGACCGTCACCAACCCCAAACGCATCCAGCAGGCCTGTGAGAAGAAGGCCTGCAACTGCCTGCTGCTCAAGGTCAACCAGATCGGCTCCGTCACCGAGTCCATCCAGGCGTGAGCATTCCACCAATTCTGTTATTTGCCGTTTTCATTTTATGGTTTCCCTTTTTTTTTTTTTTTTTTTTTTTTTTTTTTATTAATATAAAGGCTCTAAAAAATACAATATACTTTTCACAAATGCTGTTTTTCTGTTTAAATTTTTCTAAATTCTATTTTATTGGCTACATTTTAGTAATCAAAGCATGTTCAATCAATTGAAATCATGAAATTCATACAATTTAACAAGTTAAGTGAAAAACATTTTTAGACATGAAATTCTGTGTTTTTTCTGGGTTCTATTTTAATGGTTTAATTCAGTTTAAATAAAGTCTAATCGGTTGAATTCATAACTTTTTTTTTATTTTATAATAATAGGACACTATGAAATTTTTTTTCAAAAAGATGTCCGATTTCACTTACCTAAATGTATGATTTAATTAAACATTAAAACATTTAAAATGTACTACAAGGAAAATTTAACAATTCATTTTTAATTCCTGGCAAACAAAGTGCTTCAAATTAAAACATTGACTCTCCCTCTCTCGCTCTCTCTCTCTCTCGCTGTAGTTGTAAGCTGGCTCAGTCTAATGGCTGGGGTGTGATGGTCAGCCATCGCTCCGGTGAGACGGAGGACACCTTCATCGCTGACCTGGTGGTCGGTCTCTGCACAGGACAGGTACCCATCATGCTGTATTTGTGCTCAGAATGAATGCACTTTCAATGCAGTTCAATGAGACTAAGTCGCACTAACCTGAGTTCTGATGTGATCAGATCAAGACCGGCGCCCCCTGCAGATCAGAGCGCTTGGCAAAGTACAACCAGCTGATGAGGTCAGCAGTGACATCATACCCTCCTCAAATCAGCCGTCCAATCAGAGTGTGCCAAACCCTCACCTGTGTGTGTTGTGTGTGTTGTGTGTGTTGTGTGTGTGGTGTGTGTGGTGTGTGTGGTGTGTGTGGTGTGTGTGGTGTGTGTGTTTGTGGTGTTTGTGTGTTCTCCGCAGGATTGAGGAGGAGCTCGGAGACAAGACCAAGTACGCAGGCAAAGACTTCCGCCACCCCAAACTCTGAAGCAGCACTTCACAGCACACAGCTCCTCTGATCTACTTTTTTTGACAGAAGAAAACAATAAAACAATGGCAAGAAGTTACATGTCTGTGCCTTTATTCACGTGCTGTGACCAATCAGAGCTTGTTCCTTCATGATGTACAGTAAAATCACTCAAACACTGCACTGTGTGCCATTAGTTTTTCCTGTAAATCATTGATTCCTAAACCTTTTTGAGATTAAGGTAATATTTTGATCATTTATCAACACATTTGCATGTTCACGTTACTTTAATGTTGGTTAATGGACACATGACATGCAACCAAACAAATAAATGCCAGGATTATTACAGTTAAGTGAAACTTAAACAAAAAATCATTTGTTACTTAAAATAAACATGAACTGATATTAAATAAAATGCATTAAAAAGTAAACTTTATTTCAGCTGGTTGGCAAGCCAGCATTTCTTTTCATTTTGTTAAACTTTATGTACTACAATAGCAAAAAAAAATTAGACCTGTTAGACATAAAGATTAAAACTACATTTGAAATAAAAATGCAGTTTTATTGTGACTTTAATATTTACAGAGAAACACTGATCTTCAAATAATAACAGTGATGATAACTGTAAATAACTTTTTCAACTCTCTTATTAATGATCACTCACACACTTACAGTCACTCTCACTCACACACACACACACACACACTCTCACACTCACCCTC